AAAAAAATGTTTTGACGTGTTTTTTTCCAAAACGGTACTTAGTTTACGGACAAGCCTCGTATATTAGTAATTGAACCATTAGAAATTACTGATGTAATGTTCTAGTACTTATTTCGTTGCTTTTCCGTGAGGGTTGGTTCTTCGTCTGTCTATATCCGCGGTCGCAATGTCTGGAATACTTGGAACAATTGCTTATAACAATAAAAAGTCCTACTAGCAAAACGTTACGGACGATCCTATCGACTCCCGCGAGAAGTATACACGTATAAAGGATGGATGTACATATCCAATAGGCAAAATGTTAGCAGATCAAAACAGAATATTGCAATAGATTGCCAGCAGAAACCGAGCAAAATGCAATTTCGTGGCCATTTAAATAGAATATATCATTTTTCGGCGGTCAATCTGCCATTCTATTAATTTTCTGTTATTTCTCTGCTGGCGTTTTGCCGACGAAATTTGTAGCACACACTCTGCAAAAACTGTTTTCGATTTGGCTATCTGGGTATACACGAGTGCCATTTGTACTTCATTCCAAGAACTTTTCGAATGGCTCTCATATATGTATATGTATACGTATATATGCCTATGTATACGCATAATTTTATTTATTTATTGCATACATACATATATATGTATATATATCTTTATATTTTGGAACATATGTCGAATATAACAATCCGTGCGCAATATTGTACGTGTTCATTTTGATACGTTCATACATCATGTACACCTGGTTTCTCATTTACGCACTTACGTAATTATTAAAATACTATACAAATTAAATAAAAAAGTGGCGCTACATTTTTTTATTCTTACAAGAAGAGTTGTCTATATTGTTTTACATCTCATTGATCGTTCGACATTATTCAGTTTTCTTCCATATTTATATATATCTCTTTATATATATTTATATGTATAATATACCTTTTCTTTATATAATGTATGTATAAAAAATAGTCTGGAAACCTTGTAACTTGACGAGTGCCAAACTCAAGAATGCAAATCGGCAAATGATGAAAAATTATATTCTCGTAGACTACCGATTACAAAACCATGTTGTGTTGATGTTTTATGAACTGATGTTCGATTACAGTCGACTACAGGTCTTTGCTACTGGAATGTAATGTAATATTTAAAGCTAATGATGCAGGCGAGTGTTTTCTTGAATCTGGCAGTCTTCGTATTTTACGAAGTTACTCAAGTCTTCCTAGACGACGAATTCTAAAGTCAGTCACATAGCATTTCGTCGCTATTACGCAATTATAAAAAAATATTAACAAAATAGACAGTAGCTCTTTCTCTCGTTCTAACTCGAATGAATGAATAATTAAAACTATTGGCTTAATACTTTGCCAACTGGTATACAGTAATATCTTTCCAACTTGAAGAGAAGAGAGAGAGATTATATGTACTAAACGTTAATCAATGTGTGTATTTTTGTAGTGTTTCTGTTAAAAAAAAACTTTCGACAACTAAATTCAAAGGCTCAAAATAAAAGAAAAAGAAGGAACAGGTTTGTACATATATCATTAACTTCTTTTCACGTGAGTTTTCTTTGATTTTTATTTTGAAAATCTTAACAAAAAATCTCGGCAGTTTTTGCAAGTCGCTCTATACATTATTGAGTAATAAGTAATTTTCGAACAAAATAACCGACGAAGTATTAAGCCGTTTACATAATATAACATTTATGCCGCTGTCCTGATATTCCTAACTAATGGAGCGTCGCTTATTATAAACTGTCAAAATGCAATATGTTATAATTAAGTTTAAGTAATTCAGTTAAAAAAAAGGAGAGGATTGCGGATGCATGGAAATGTCGATTGTCCAACTCGTCGAAGTACATACGAGAACACGATAATCCAGAACTGTTAATGTTCACATCCGTGCAACGTACTTTGAACGCACTATTTTCTCTCGTCCCACTTATACACATATATCACTTCTAGTGTAAAAGTATAACATAAATGCTAGGTTTTATCGACAAGATATAAAAATTCATTTTAAGGATCAGTATAAGATACGCATCACTTTCGCGAGTAAATGAAATTTATACAGCGTCCGTATAGTCACTCATGATAATCATAAAGTTTACCCCGTCCACTAATAAACCACGCGCGTTAATTACACATTGCGTCGATAGGATGGCGCATCACACGCTCTTTGTCTCTTCAACCATCAAACTAGAGTAATCGGTGAATGAGACCACATTTAAGTACAATGAAGCCTCGTTTCTTTCCAATTAATTGGAACCTGGGGCTGTATGAAACGCACAAAGCTGCACAGTGTAAACTCTGCAGCGTATATCTCCCTAATTATGGTTACATGAACCACGTAATCGGGAATCGAATCTGTAAGCTGTGCGCATTTTCTGGCAAATAAAATAACTTTATTTAATTTATATATGAGTAATATATTATAAGTACTATAGAATATATTAATCAAATATTTACTGTAATTAAGAGATCAAAAATTTACTAGAGTTTCAAAATTAGTCAAGCAACTATATACGCTACCTGCGTTAAAATTTTATATCTATGATGTTCTCATTTAGGAAAACTCAACACCAGCTTTCGCTCTCACGTTCACCAACTCCGTCGCTTTCCTCGTCACTTGGATCCTCTCCGTACATGTCTGCCAATTTTCTAAATCTTGGTCCGAAATTAGATAGATAATTAAATTTGAGATCTCCATCATCGGTGCCTGTTAACAGAAACACAATGAAATTAATTGAGAAAAAGATACAAGAACATAAGTTTAAGGTATTTTTTCGGAGATTCAAAAACACTAACATGAAGCTAACGACGATAGATCGCCTTCGGAATTGCCTTCTCCCTCGTATGCGTAATGCCTTACATCGTCGAATGGATTTGTATCGGGATCTTTATCGCAGCTTTCCTTCTTACCATCTAAGAAGCCACAAATGTCTGGAACTTCGTCGGTTCCTATACAAAAAAAAATTCTCCCTTTAGTTTTCGTACAATCATCCGTAACGTAAATAGCACTTTAATCTGCCGTTGTCGCACCTCTACCCTGTAGGCCAACTGGAGCTATCTTCGAATCAATAGGTGGTGCGTCGTAAATGGCTCTTAAAACATTTAAATCGAAACCCGCATCAGTTTCACCGCCTCCCTCGTCCTCGTAATTAATAATATTTTCTCTGATATCGTCCATATCTTTATACAGATCGTCCGTCTTTCTCCTGTGCACAACTACCGCCACGAGTAATATCAATAATATCAATACGCAAACCAAAATGGCTACTATAAAGTTTGTGTCAATTCCGAACGAGATAGCCTTCGCCATGCCATGATCGCAGCCAGGATCTGCGTTTCTAGACAGCGATGGCATACCTAGATTGTACGTCTAAAACAAAAGAATACAATTTAATCTCTCTCCACAATTTACTCTGTCCGTTATGTCTTCACTACTTACGTTTCCATTGAATGTCATATTACGTATACAGCCAACGAATCCTTTGTCAGTCGGTTTATAATCCCATCCTAAATTCGACGCTAAATGCGCTAGGTTGGTCAACGTACCACCAACTTGCATCGGACTGTTAACGTTTAAAAATTCATTGGTGCCTTGCGGTGCAGTGAGACTCATGCAGGCGGATATGCCGCACTTATCAACTATCATCTCTATCGACTGGAAAAGAAAGCAAGCGCGATTAAAATAAATTCCATATTCGATTTAAACAAAACGATGCACGTATAACGAGATTTCTTACAGTTTTCTTCCAATAAACGTCTATCCTGTGACTCTTGCCGTCCGTTAGTTTGATTTGTTTCTGATCTAGCCTTACAGTTCCCGTGCCGTAGTCAACGTACAGCACAGCGAAGCCATGCTGAAGTTCCAGAGACATGAAATCCTGAATTCCAAGCTTTGGATTGTAAGTCATGGGACCGAAGTAAAATACAAGACCGTTGTCCACGTGCGGCGTTATCTCCAATCCTACGATAATCACACGCGTAAGAATGAAGGTGCAAAAATGAAGAATGAGAATGGTGTAAATGACGGGAGTGCACTTACCTAAATGTGAGTCGTCGCAGGCTTGACCAGGCGGCGGCATTATAACCCAGCCGTCTCCGTGAAAGCCGATGCCCAGCAGTTCGCATCTCGGCCCTTCCAGGCCGGGCGGGCACTCGCATCGCTCTCCCAGAGGCGTACCACCGTTCAAGCAGACGATAGGTTCCGCGACGTGGCAAGTACACTGCGGATCCACGACCGCCCTAACGCCGACAAATGAGCTGGTATTGGTGTATACGACGTATGGGACAGTGCTGGTGTTCAAGAAATTACGGCACGAATTGTTGCAGTGGAGCTTCTCGAACAGGCACTCGTCAATGTTCATCAATACGATATCCGCTTTCATCTCTCGCTCGATTTCTTTCGAATGCTGCGCTATAATCGTGTTCAACTTCTCGGGAGCGTAATACGGACTGCCGTGCGCCGAAAATCGAACGTCCAGTAGGCTTCTGTTGTTGTGATGAGGCGAATGAAGTATGGTGAACACATCGACATTCTCGACCGATGCATTCAGCATAGTTGCCAATTTCTCCTGGAATATCTCCTTCTTACTGACGCCGGATTCGTCAGGTTCCACGAATTGCTCCGCCGTTAGTCCGTAAAACCGTACGGAGCCGGATCTGTCAACGGCTTCCTCGGGAAGTTCCTTGACCGTCACGTTCACATAGGCATATACCTGATGCGATGGGATAATCTGGCCTCTCTCAGTGACGACGAATTTCAACACGAAGGTGTCGTTTGACGTACCCGAGAGTAAAGTGATCATGCCGGTGCTGGCATTGAGAGAGAAACCGTCGTGAGGAGAAGCCCAGTCGAAAGACTTGTCCGGCAGATCCCAGTCGTCCGGATCGTTGACATAAACGCGTCCGATTTCCGTGTCGGGAGCCTCTCCTTTATAATTGTAAACAAATATAGAACTCGAGCCCTCCCGCATAGGATTGTCATTCTCGTCGCCTATGATTACAGTGAGCGTCGAGGTACCGGTCATAGACGGCACGCCACTGTCCGTGATTGCGATGGGTATATCGTAGCTCTTCCGCTTTTCCCGATCAAATTTCACTCGCGCGTACAAATGAGACTCGCGTATGTCAAATTTAGATCTTATTTCGTCGTCCGCGGTGCTGTCAATTTTGAACTCGAACGGCGGGCCATTCTCCTCGGAGTCGTAATCGCGTGCTTTCAGCTCGGTTATCATGCCGGGCGGTTTATTTTCACCCCAGATAACTGGGTAAGGCATATCGAGGAACGGTGCGTTGTCATTTATATCTATGAGAGTAATATTAACCATGGTCAATTCTCGAAGAGCCGTAGGCGCACCATCGTCGTCTCTCGCCATCACCATGACCTGGCAAAAACAAAAACCCCCCCAAAAAAAGAGCAATAAAAACCGAAGTTCGTCTCTTGAGATGTTAACTTGATGAAGAGAGCAATAACTTACAGTCCACGTTGCAAAACCATTCGGTGGGTCACGATCTAATGGTTTTTTCAATTTCATACAGCCAGTAGCGTTGATTTCTATCAAAGGTTGATGCTCCTCCTTGACGATGAAGTAGGCAATATGCTGATCGGCAGTTTTATCGTTGACATCAGGATCAATAGCTACCACGGTGGTGATACATCCTAAACGAACAGTAATACATTTTGTGAGAAAACCAATCAAATTTTGCCGGAGAGTAAAAAAAACGATCGTGTCAATATTTTACCGGGCACCAATTTTTCTTCCTGTATCGTCGGATTTTTGTTAAAGTCTTCGAAAACCGGCGGATTGTCGTTAACGTTGTCGATAAAAATTTCGACATGCGCCGTATCGTTAAACACACCGTCGAACGCTCTTACAATCAGGTCGTACTTGGTGATTTTTTCGAAATCGAGCCGGTTGTTGACGCGAATCTTTCCAGTTGTAGACTCGATGTAAAAACTGTCTTCGGTGTTGCCCGATATGATGCTGTACGTGACGGGGCTCGCCGTATCGGAATCGATAGCTCGGACTTCAGTTACGGGCGCGTTAATGTTGGCGTTCTCGCTAATCGAATTTTCGGCGTACACTTTTTTGGTGAAGCGAGGCGGATTGTCGTTCTTGTCAGCGATTTCGATTTGGAACACCTGTTGTCCCTTATTGTGCTCGCCGGTTTTGAACAAAGCGCTCGGGGAATTATCCGATGCTATTATTTTCACGTTGTAGATATTTTCGACTTCTCTGTCGAATGTCACCAACGTGGTAATATTTCCAGTTTGCGGGTCGATGGCAAAGAGGTCCTTGAAGTTGTCCAACTCGTAGCTGACCTTTTGATGAAAGCCAAGATATTGCGTTAAGTGCAAGACGTAATGAAACTTTGACGCATGGTTGTGATAAAAGGCGCTCTTGGAGCGGAAAGTATGATTTATGCAATTTTAATACCTGATTATTAGCGGAAGTTCCATCAGCGTCAATGGCCCGCACTTGCATCACGGGGACTCCTCGGGGTTCGTTTTCTAAGACGGTTCCTCTTTTGACATCGCGGAAGACGGGAATGTTGTCGTTTACATCGCGAACTTCGATATCGATCACCGTTTCGGCAGCTAACTGATACTTGTTCTGTACTCTCACTATTAAAGAGTACTGCTTGTTACTCTCGTAATCGAGATGCTGAGACAGCTTGATATCCGCCACATCTTTGTTGGATTCCAATCTGTAATAGGCGCGAAATGAAATATTTGCAGTTGATGCGCGATCGCTGACACGTTTCGTTTCACATTATGCGAAGTGGCGAAACAGTAAGCGCGACTCGCGTTTAGTACCTAAAAGTGTTCCCCTTGTTAGTCTGTTCCGTTCTGCCGGTCACGAGCTCGAAGAGTAGATACGAATTGTCCGAGCTGCTGGAATTATCGATGTTGGAGACTGCCTTCAAGCGGACAATGCTGGCATCGAAATCGCTAAAATTCTCCAGCAGTTTGATCGGCTCTGTTGACCTCGGTAGAAAAGCCGGCGCCTTCTTATGCGACTCCACGACCCGTATGTCAAGATCAATGACATTGCTCTGCGGGATCTCGCCAAAATCCTCAGCGGTAGCAGTCATACTAAATTTGTAATCTGGACTCCGCTGCACATATCCATAATGCAAGATCGTAATGCATTTGCGTGATTTGTTAAATAAAGTGAGGAAGCTCCGCAGCTCATCGCGAGAGATAGATCGATGCGTTACATTATTTGTGTGTCGGGGAATATTATTTTTAGTAAACACACGCGAGAAATAAAATAATAAATATCTCTTTCGATCATTCAACGGGTAATTCTGTTTCAGGCGTTGCTCGTGTGTCCAAAAAAAAATAGCATTTCCGAAGGGATGAGCACATTTGCGTAACAAACTTCGCCGATGAATATGAAAATTCGAACGGCGATTTAATAAAACGGCGGAACTATCGCCGTCACTTAAACTATCAGATAAGTGTTCCAAGCTCTAGTTTCAAAGTGACATTGTAAAACGGAGTTTGCGTTAAGCACCTATCCCCTTAATATATCAAGTCCCAGCCTTCGCATCACTTACGTCTATAGCTTTGTTGAGGAATATAACGCCGGACTCGCGGTCGATCCGAAAGTATACAGCATCTTCCATTTTCTTAGGTGACAGACTATACCGTACGATGGAACTGTTGCCATCGTCGATATCGGTGGCGGAGACTCGCATGACCTCGTGACCCACGGGCAAATCTTGCGGCACAGATTCCGTGTATGCCTGCGTAACAAGCCAAAATGTGTTAGCGAGAACCGACAAATCGTACACAATACGTGCGCGCGGCTTCTAAAATGCACTTAGCGTGACGTACTCCATGCAATTTTCGTGTTTACGGCACAATTACCATTCCTAAAAGACCACACGTACGTGCACATGCTAATTTCTCTCTTCGATAATAATGACGTTAAACATAAATAATAAGTGACTGGAGGAGATCTTACAACTTACAAGTCGCCAGAAGTAATGAAAACTTCAGACGATTGCTTGACCATGTCTCGCAAATTTTGCGACTGTCATGTTTTGCCATTCGTGAAATTAAGATCTGTTCGTTTCATTTACCGTACGAAATTGTTGACACAATTATCACTTGAGAAGGACCACAAACCATGGTCGAAACGTTGTGAGCTTAAACGTAAAAATTTGCCAGACATGGTCAAGTAATTTTCTGAAGTTATAAATAATCAGATTCGAAGCCGATAAATTAACAATGATAAATAAATAAGCGGAGACTGCGGCCCACATTTGCGCTGATAGTCGTCGCAGTTCTGAATCAATGGAATGACTCTGCCTCGATCGTGTAAACTTTTTTTTCAACTCGTACTCTTTTAAATTCTCATAGTCAAATCTGAAAATTTTTTTTCAAATCGCACACAACAAGAAATTCATTCGATGACATAAAAATAGAAATGGCATTTTGTTTCATGAAATATGCAAACTGTGCATAAAAAGAAGGGGGGAAAAGCAAAACTTTTGGGACACTTTTATTTTTTTCATTTACATATCGAGCAACATTCACACCACGTTTTCGGAACCAACCTTCCACATGTATCCACGGAAGACCTGGGATTGAAATGAAACAAAAAAATTCAAGCAATTGTTGTTAGTAGCGATAGTGGCTGTTGTGTTAGTCTACAGAAGAAAAAGGGAATTCACGCGATATGAACATACGAAAATCCATCGTAATATCTCACGAAAGCTACTCATTCATTATCCAATTAATCCGCGACATTTCTGTAGACATGAATATTTCAAAATTCCTTATTATAATATTTTAATAGCGTACAAATTCTACACCTAAAATCATTTTAGGAAGATTGCTTATGGTCACCAGTAATGAATAAATTATAACGGGAACTTATAGTCAACCCAACTGGCTAGTTGCTTTATTTAAGTAGATACAACGTTTCGACCCTAGTTTGGGTCCTTTTCAAGTATTACTAAGGGCCAGTTTCACAAACGTCGGTTAACTGCTAACCGAAGGTTAACTGATCCTCTGTCTCTTCTTAGAGAACAAGATACGAGTAGAAAAAGATAGGGCGTTGACTGAACTCTGGTTAACAGTTAACCAACGTTTGTGAAACTGGCCCTAAGTATGTCATCTTGTCAGAAGAGACAGTGTCAAATTGTAAATTGGCGATACATGTGAGCGCTGTGATCGCTGGGCTCGAACTGTATCGCCAATTTACAATTTGACACTGTCTCTTCTGACAAGATGACATACTTAGTAATACTTGAAAAGGACCCAAACTAGGGTCGAAACGTTGTATCTACTTAAATAAAGCAACTAGCCAGTTGGGTTGACTATAAGTTCCCGTTATAATAAAATCATTTTCTCCAGAATTATCATTGTTAATTAGCAGTTAATTTAAAAAGTACATTTTTTAAGAGGTCCTCTTTACGTTAGTAACTTTTTATGTTAGTTTTTATGTTAGTAGAGGTCTTTTTTTATGTTAGTTTTTGTTACGTTATTTTTATCGAAAATAAAACCTCGCGCGAAAGGAATTTATATTATATTTTTAACTTATTTGCTCGTTAAAGAGTCAGCCCTTTATCATAAAAAATGCACCATCATCCCATAAACATCGGAAACGAAAAAGCTTTTACGGCCTCGATTTTTTTCTACTTTTTTTTCCCCCAGCACAATCCGGCTAACAAGTCTATTACATCCGTGTAATTGCGGCGTATGCATAATATATACGCGTATTCGCACCACATGCACCCAGATTCGTATTTGCAGGTACGAGCCATAAGGGAGTTGGTAACGAGTTAGTAAACTTGGGTAGTTAGCGACGTACCACTTTGTCGAAAACGGGTCCATTGTCATTGACATCTTCGATGGTGACTTTAAATGTGCACACGTCATCCAGCTGCGGCCTCCCATTGTCGGTCGCGAGTACCGTGAGATAAGCTTCCTTTTCTCTCGCGGGCTCGTCCCTGTCGAGCATCTGGGTCGTCGTGATGAGACCCGTCTTATTGTTGATTTTGAATTTTAACTTCTCGTCAGGAGCGGTCACGAAGCTGTACGTAATGGTACCTGGAAAATGTAAGACCGGACGATCGTAATCGAACTACCGATGGAAACGTCGAGTCTTGCCTTCGACGACCTTCGAAAGGAATTAATCGTACGAAAATATAAATTATTTGGAAAATACCGTTGAAAATGAAACTTGCGAGTGTCTCGAAAACAACAGTTTTGAAATTATTCAAAAAGTCCCGAGTATTTAAAAACATTATTTTTCCAGAGATATTCAGATATCTGAAAATATTTATATGTACACATTATATTATTACGTTTATAAATATATTTAAAACGTGTATTTATAACATATTCGAAAACACGTTTTCTCTTTTACAACGCAATTAACGCGTTGCTTCTGCCCGTCCTCTGTTTCACAGACACAGATAATAATTTTGTTCTCGCAATTTAAACACGTTTTCAGAATACTCGATTTCAAGACTCCAAATTCGTTTGATTCCAAGTCCGATTTGATTGCGTGTCAATTCGAGTGTTTCGTTACATAAAACGGCCACTTCTGCGCAACAGTCGTGAGTCTATAATCATTCACCTATACCGTTCCACTTTCGTCTATCGCGGTTTGATGGCACGAGAAAGGTAACAGTACGTATCTCTGCTTTGTCAGCCAATGACGCGGCGCAGATATTTTCGTCCGCCCGAAACATCTATTACCGATCTCGTTCTTATGCCGCATCGCGCGTAAATCCGTCGAGAATAATAAATGCGAACGGTGAAAAATGTATCGAGGACGCGGTGTATATGACCAGAAACAAACTGAAACACGCGCCGTCTGTCTTCAACCTCGTTCCCTCCCCCGTCTCCGATTTGGGGTCGCGAAACTTTGAAGATCTCGTAAAAATGGCTCGCGCATATATAACTTTTGTTCTCTCTCTTTTTTTTTTACCACGCGCATAATTTTACGCGTGACACGCGCGGCGACGTCGCGCTGCTATACAATACCTCCGTCATCCGGTGGATCCCTATCCTCGGCGTGCACCCTGATCACCACCGTGCCAGCCGGTTCCTCCTCCTTCACCACCGGCCCGTAAGCCGAGCAATTGGAGAACAGCGGCTTGTGATTGTGATTCTCATCGAGCTGAAAGCGCAAGAGAAACGGACGGCTATTAGCGCGGGTGTTGCTTGGCACGGGGCAACCCCCCTCGAAAGACGTCCCGGGGATTAATCGGTAAACTTGGCATCGCGCGGGAGGAGGGGGGGGGGGCGCGAAAGGGGAGACTTTGGAGAACAAGGCGCTTCGATAAATCAAAGCGCTCCTCATAAACCGAGCGCCATTAATCACGGCCGGCGTACTCCGGCGGTCTATTATGTCGCGTTTCCTCATAAAAGATCCAACACAGGCCCGCGAAGAGGAGGTGAGAGGACAGTAGAACAAAGTGAGAGGGGTTGAGAGGGGGTGCAAGGGGGTGCGGGAAAAAACGGAGCATCGCGGGCGCTTCGCAATAATCGCCCGTTCGCGTCGGCGATCTAGAGCACGTGGTGCAAGGTTGGCGCAAGTCCCGCGGTTTTGCACAACGTTACGCCGGTTCTCTCTGTTGCGTCTCGGTGAGAGTCATATTCTCATAAATTATTAGCCGCAACCGCCCTCGTACGTTGCGTTACCGTTTCATCGCGATTAGGATCGATCCGGTGGTGTTTAACGTACGTAATGCACGATCGGCCGACGTGGCGTTTAACTTTCGAGCTTGAGAGGATCCCTCAGCCATCTTTTTTACCGACACGGTCAAATATAGTTTTTGCGCTTGTAATGTGTTTTAATAGCGCTTCTATGCACGAAGTAATACCAGGACAAGTTGCGGACTGCATAGCAGAACATTTTCATACTTAAAAGTTTAAAAGGCTAATAAAAAAAATGTTGGTATATGAAATTTTCCTTACGTAGTTCGTACTAAATTTGAAATTGGCCTTATAAAATTGCAAAATTCTTCCACGATTAAAGTACGTATAAGGACAAACAATGGTTAGGTAATCTCAACCGCTTATAAAGTGATATTTTTTTAATTTCTCTTCGTTTTTTTTTTATACAAATCGACTGTCTTCGATTTTGTGCATACTTTAATCGTGTGGAAGAATACAATTTTATAAAGCCAATTTTAAATTGCTCGCGAATGAAGAATGGAAAATTTCAAGTACCAATATCTTATCTATTAAACTTCTGAACTGACAAGTGTTTTAAGTATAAAAATGTTCCGCTATACGGTCCGCAACTGATCCTGGTATTATTTTGTGCATGAAAGCTAATAAAAAGAGAATTACAAGCGCAAAAGCTGTATTTGACTGTGTCGGTAAAAAAAGATGACTGAGGGATCCTCTTAACGGGGAAAGAGGAGAGCCGGTACACCTGTGTATCGGAATCGCGAATGACGACCGACGTGTAAAAAGTGTACGAGATAAATTCGCGGACGACAATGTCCGGCGTCGAATCTCTCTCGCCGATTCGCGCCTTATCTCGGGGATGTATGCCAAAACACGGGGGAGGCGCGACGCTCGTAATAATGCTAAGTATCCCCCGCACACCCTGGGCGCGCTCACGTTAGACCGTTATCTTCAATGTAATTAAATGGTCGCGACATTAATATTCATTACTATTTTCTGTCCCACGGGGGATAACGATATTCCTGAGTAAACAACATTTGGTAAGAAATATAATCCGCGTGTGCTCTCTCTCGCCGTGTTTGCTCGCACGGCGGAGCACGCCTCGGCATCCGGCAAACCCCTCAGACCGCTTAGAATTTCGCGCAGCACTTTGCCGACGTCATGCGTTACCCCCGATATAGCGCCTGCACTTGCTCTCGTACTTTCCAGCCTCATTAACGATAAACAAGTTAGCCGCGTTTTAGCATATTAATCCCGTTACGTTATATCCGCGGCTGATTCCCGCCGACTTGTCCGAAGGAAAATTCCGTAAGTTAAAATCCGCGAGTCCCCGGTGTCCGCCGAGACACCGGGGGAGGAAAAAATCCGCGAGGTTTCCCTCATTTTCTAAGCGCCTTCGTTCGAGTTCGGAGGCAAAATCAGAGCGTCTTCGGTCGCAAATTCGAAATGGGGCTTCAATGGAACAGATATTTCGCGTTGTATAAAATTTTCATTATTTTTTATCCGTAAGAAATATAACAGCTAGAATAGAGTCTGTCGTAAATAAAATGCCAACGTCTAAATATTGAAGCGAAGTCTTTTTAAACGAGACTTATATATAGCAATTTGACGTTAAAAATATACTATTTTTCTCTCGTAAAATAGTTGAAAGTAAATCCTTCGAGGAGACAATTTCGACGAACATTCTCCGAGGAGTCCCCTGATTTTTCAAAGCGAGAGGAAAGGTTCGCCGAGTGTCCCACGTTTCCCAAGTTCTTCTAGGTAGCAGAACACTTTGTAATTATTTCCATCGTTACAAGCGTGCCCGTAATAGCGAGAAGAAAAGTCCTCGAACGGAAACGAGAGGGCAGGTCGTCGCGAGCACCGTCGTTAATATTGCTATGCCAGTGTAATGAGACGAATACGCGATTGCGTTAGTTGGCAGCGTCCCGTTTAACGTCAGCGCGAATATGATACTTGAGTGAATTCACAGCGGTGTCGTAAATTGAGGGAAGAAACTGTCATCTTTACGCGTGTACGTCCGGATGAATGGCAGCTCCTCCCTCGGGGTACTTTGTGCCCCGAATTTTAAGCTAACGGTGCACACAACACGGTCGCGAGATACACTCGACTGTTAATTTAATATTGAAAGGGAGAGAGAGCTTTCATGCAAACTGCTCGCGATCTTTTTGCGCAACATTTAATATATGCGGGACGTTTAATATGCGCAAAACAGCCTCGCCGCGACCATCATCTCTGATTCGCAATGCGAGCTTAAAGGTAAAAGCAATGAAATTTCATAAAGGGACCGAGTATTAAACCTTGCTCTATTAACGTAGTGTCTACAAGAAAATTATGTTTCATTGTATACCATATATTATGAAAAAGGTCACTGCACCGCGCTGGCGAACTCTTATTATTCTTTAAGTACTTGGCGTTTGATTTTTCCTCGAGAAAAATTTAATTAAAAGTAAGTTAGCGAGATACCTTACGTTGAAAATTGAAAGATCATGATTAATTGAGCTCCTGTAAATGCAGTGACATTCAGTTTCATTTCTCAAATGTAAATAAATTTAAATAAATGTTATCGCGAAAAGTTAAATATCGTACACAATTTGGGTATAAAGTTACGTTATTAAATTATTAATATAATAATATAATAAATGTTACCACCGTATTTTTCTCTTGTCCTGAATTTAGCATAAAAATTAGAATTTTATTCTGTGATATTCCGAGTAGATATCTAATATATAGAAATAATATTTAATTAATTAAAAATTACAGATTCATTACTTCCTTCTTTGCCATTAATTAAAAATTACGGATTCGCTATTTCCCGCCTCATTTTTTCAGTTGGAATCGATTACGGATAGATATTTTTAATACTAAAGTGCTTGAAATTTAAGTCGTCCTCCCCGCCACGTGGAATCTACAGGTCACATCTGAATTATAGGAAACTTCTCTGCCATGTCTATCTGGGATTCACGAGATTAGGTCCCAAACAAGTTCAGCGTCCAATTACGGGTCTGGCGAAACGGCAATTCTCGTCAGATTGTGCCATTTGTCGAAATCCCGTCTAACGAATCACGCGCATGAAATGGCCCCTACGGTTCTTCGCTCGCAAACTCGCGTTCCTAAATATCCCACACTTCGCCAAGCGAACTTCGGCGTAACGTCAACGATTTACGAGTGATTCGTAAGCAAGTCTCCAGGGCTGCTAACCAAGCACTCTCAAAACGTCTCAACACTGCGAGACGCATGGCGCATCTATTCATCGAATCACGAGTGATCTCTGCGGCGGATTATTTATGCACGACGATCGCACGAAGCACATTACACCTCGATAACCCCCGAAATTGTATCAAAATACGACACGCGGTGCAAAATGCAAAATGTTTGTTAAACGCAGGATTAAACTAATCCCGTTGATATTTCCAGAACTGCCAAAGAAATACGCTTAACACAGGAAACTCTGAATTATCAGTGGTTCTTTTTATAACGCGAGAGAAAATACGATCAACTTGAAGGTCAAATTGTACGTTGTAATCAAATTCTGAGTCTAAGTAAAGATCAGGTCAACACCGGTTGAAACCGGCATTTGAAAACCGTGAATATCGATTGGCAAAATGTACAGGAATCGTGCGTCACGAACCATTTATATTGCGAGTGTCCGATCTCAAGGCTCTTCATGTAAAACAGCAAAGGGAAAGTTTAAATCTGGCGCGGGCTGCTTGATCAAACACGTCTTTCTATCATAGAAAAGTTAGCCGAGTAAATCTCGACTTTGGCAACAATACCTGACACCATATTTACATTCGATGGACTCCGGAAACTAAATATCGTCCGAGTATTTACCATGAATCGACTGTTGAGGATCACTGGTTATCGAAGTGACTTTTGTGCTCGACATGAAGAGACCCGCGATTTCGTTTCAGCTAATAGCGATCGACATTTAGTTGAAAAGGATCTAAGAAAAGGATAAAGGTGACACCGGTATTTCTGTGCGAGTATGAATAATTACATGCATCTTAAATATTATATCGCACAAAGAAATTCGCGCTAATCGATTTTGTACTGGTTTAATATCTTCAATTGGTTTAAGCTCTTGCAAAAATAATTAAGACTGAATATTTCACTTATTGTTAGTTTCACATCTAATTGTAAGACTCCATGAAAATGACGAAGATGTTCCTGAAACAGGGTATAGTTTTCTGTTATAAGATATGCTCCTAATATGAGATAGTGGGGTTTCCACAAAATGAATAGGCATCATCCGTCGATTCCGTCGCGAATCGCCCTCGGAGTGAAGTCTGTTTGGTGGAGAATTCGTTGTTAGATCGTTGCGAAAACAGAACGCGTAAAATTGGATGTTGAGAACCCGCTACCTCATATTAGGCTCTTCTCCTCCACTTAAAATTCGCTGCCTGGATCGCGACTTTTCGAGCGCGCTCGATACATATCCAACGTGCTGCGATGAATACAGGCCCGCTCGTCGATGTCGCGTAGAGACGACTGCAGACGCGCGCGGTAAATATTTAAACTGTTCGGCAGATAGGCGATGAGGGAAGGGACAAATCCATTATCCAACTTGCTGGAAAGGTGGTTTATATCGGGGATCTGGTCGGATCATCCTTGGGATCTCGGGGTGGTAAAAGGAACCGGGCTCGGTGTCTGAGACAGAAGGAAAGGAGTGTAAATGGCGGTGGGACGGGACGAGAAATCGAATCAAGAACGAATCGAGAAGCACTCACCGATAATACACCCTCGCCCGGGAACTGCGATCTCACGTCCAGGTGTCTCGAGTGCCTCAATCTCGTTGCAGACGCTGTAACATAAAGAAGAAACGGGGGATGACGTTATCGCCCATTTAGGTTATTGCGGCCGATAAGGCGCAAGGATAATCGCCCGGGAGCCTCGTACAAATTTCAAGGGATAACGCGTGATACGCGTGACACCGTTTCGTGCACGGAAGCGGAAATTTTACCGCAGAGCGGAACGAGAGAGCGGGATTTTCTTATCGCATAACGTTCGCGCAGTGTATCGCGATATGTCGCACATTAACAAGTCCCAATACATACTTGATGATACCACCTGAAATAATTGCGGCGCACGAGCAAACATTATCGTCTCTATAATAGATCTCGTCGAATACGGTACGTTAAATACTTGAGCGGAGCCGACGAAAATAGTGCGCGCTCCGATAAAAATGTATTCAATAATATATGGACATATGAGTCAAACGTTGAATTTATAATATCTGAGATGAACGTTATTCTCTCTCGTTAAATGGCATAATCCGCTTAATAATTATTTCAGCTCGCATTTATTCGTCCTAACGCATCTATTTTGGGCGGTACACGTGAATTTCCTGCCCGGTTTTTACATTTTGCACGTAATTTAAAATATCAGGCGCTCCCTCGATACGCATTTTTGCGAGATTTAACTATCGCAATCACGACAGCTCTCGCGCGTACGCGGCGGAACGGCATAACGGAAGCGAAATATTAGGGAAAATTTCTAACTCTCGCGACGGAACAATCTTAACTAAATTTCCAAGTGCCGAATGCTAACTGAATTAGAAATTATATATCTCGAGGCGAAACCCGGCTGCGTGGATCTTTATGCATCATTCACAACAATGTCTACTCCACCAACACCGAAGAGCAAGTGGAATGCAACTTGGAACGCTATCTCGGAACTATTCATAAGTTACGCAAAGTAGGCATTGCTAATGCGGCATTAGAGTCCCTTTAAGTTAATGCACAAAGACGGGGCGAAAGGCGCGTAGAAGAAAATACAGCTTCCAAGTATGCAAAATTATTCACAAAGACTCGTTGTTAGTAACTGTCGTTTCGTTTCGAAAAAGTACTTGCCCGTAGTTTCTAAACAAGAGAGATTGTTATTAATATAACGATACACAAATCCGCTTTCAGCAGAAAAAATAAAAAGCGAAAACGCGCGCGCGCGAGAGAGAGAGAGAGAGAGAGAGAGAGAGAGAGAACGGCACGAAACGCTTTTATTTTATCGAATACTTTATCGAACACTCGACCTCGGTATTTTTAAGTACCGAAAACGTTCGCCGTCACTCTTTTGTTAATGCTCCGCGACCGCAATACGTGACGGCGACGAAGCGCTGTCATTCCTGCAGCTTGCGTGGCTCAACCACAATGCGGTTTACCCGCACTTAATGCGGGCTCTGTCCCGAATTTTAAGTAAATTTGTGCCGCCGTAAAAGCGATACCGTCGGAATTGCATAAAATTCAGCCGGGCTCGCGAACGGTTCACGCCCGGGGCCCGTCACTGCGGGCTACGCTGGAAACGACGAGATAAATAACACCCGGCAGAGGCGAGCGGAACATCTTGGCTCATAAATCCGCTCGCGCGGATTTTTTCATTGTACCCCCGTGGCCTTTCCACCTCGCCCCTTCTCCCCCCCCTTTTCCTCGTCATTTCGTAAAGGTCGACCGACGAAAGTAGCGTTCAACAATCTAATCGATCTGACGTTAATGATTATTCATAGCGGCGAGATTAATTATGTTTCTCCGGGAAAACCGATAAGCGATTGTCGCTCAATCTGTTTAAAATACAACGTATAACGAGCGCAATTATGTATAACTCGTCCCGCTCGAGGAATCCCCCTCCCCCCCCCCCAACGGGACTCCCCGATAATTGAATTGGAAATCATCCCCCTCGTCCCCCGCCCCGCCCCGCCCCACCCCTGTGTCAAAATCATTCGGCACAATCGTCGGCGTCACTCGAATTTATTATCACTCGTACTCAATCGAGCACACATTCCACTCGTAACCGCATTCGCGCACCGCGATCCGTCCTCTCAAACATCCAAATTAACACTTCGTCCATTATCTTGTTCCGCCCCAGTTGAGAGCAACATCTGTACACCACGCGGGGGTTAGCTATTTGTATTTCCGCGTTAGCCCGCCGCGTTAAGCACCGTCGTCTCACGCCGCGGCGCGTCCCGTCGTCCCCCCCCCCCTCGGACGCCTCTTCGCGAGGGGGAAGAAAAAGCATCTCTTGGCCCGTTTCTTTCGCGCCCGGGGGATGCATTAAGTTCTCCGGCCCGATATTGCATTCGCCCCGCATATTAGCGGGGCATTTCTCTATCAAGTTTCCCGTTACCCCCGTTTTCTGTTTTACGTTACACATTTTATATCGCGCTTCTCCCGGGGCGGCGGGCGCGAAATTGCGGAAAAATTCCCGACGCCGATGCGTCGCGCGCCGCGATTGTCGCTCCGCCGCGAGGGTTAGGGCCTGAGCAGAATGACTGTCTTATACTTTTAAGACATAAGACAGTTATTGTGCGTTACCTCAAAACAAAGGCTTAAAACAGAAAACATTGTCTTAAAGGGATGCTGGAGTGATTCTGCACTTTCGCACCTTTTGCACTTAAAACTGTCTGTTTCGTGGAAAGATTTGTGTAATACACAAATTAAATGGCACGTACAGATGATCGAAAGCAGCTTGCTATTCCGGCTAAATTAAAGAATAATATGACATCA